CATTCAAAGATATTTTTCCATTTTATTTTCAGACAGAGTGAGAGGGAGAGAGAAAAAGAGAGAGAGAAACATTGATGTAAGAAAGACACACTAACTGGTGGCCTCCCAAATGACCCCGACGAGGGCTGGGAACCGAATCGCAAGCGAGGTACGTGCCCTTGACCCATCCAGCCTGAGACTCTGGTCTGAGGGCCAACGCTCCAACCGCCAACCGCTGAGCCAAACCGGCCAGGGCTTGCTTTTTTTTTTTTAAGATTTTGATTCTGGCCTTGGCCAGTTTGGCTTAGTGGTTAGAGAGTTGGCCTGTGGGCCAAAGTGTTGCAGGTTTGATTCTGGTCAAGGGCATGAACCTTGGTTTTGGTTCAACTCCAAGCCCTGGTTGGGGTCATGCTGGAGGCAACCAATCAATGTGTCTCTCTCACAGATGTCTTTCTCTCTCTCTCTCTCTCCCTCTCCCTCCCTCCCACTCTATGTAAAATTCAATGGACTTAATCCTCCAGTGAGGATTAAAAAAATAATTTTGAGTCTGTTGCTGCTTTATAGAAGTATAAATTACATATTAAAAATTATGTCTTCTTTTTTATATATCCAATTTCTGAAGGCTTGTTTCTTCCTCTTGGTCAGAGAAAAATTTCTAGGTACTGGGGGTGAGCTGAGCTGAAAAACAGCATGGGTAGAATTTCTCTCTTGTCTTGTTTACCAAGTGCTTTTAAAAATCTGATTTCATTTGGTAGAAGCATGGCATTACTTAATCTGTGCATTACTTAATCTGTGCATTACTTAATTGGATAGTGACTCTCCTTTTAAAAAAATTAATAGACTATTTTTTGTTAAAGCAGTTTTAAAAATGTTTTTTTCTTTATTGATTTTAGAGAGAGAGGAAGAGGAAAGGAGACAGAGATAGAAACATTGATGAGAGAGAACATTGACTGGCTGCCTCCTGCATGCCCCACACTGGGGATCAGGCCCACAACCTGGGCATATACCCTGACCGGGAATCAAACTGGTGACCTCCTGGTGCATCGGTTGTTGCTCAACCACTGAGCCACACTGGCGGGGCCTGTACAAGCAGTTTTAGGTTTATAGGAAATTTTGCAAAACCTACAGAGTCCCCAAATATTGCCTCTCCTCCCCCTCCCCAAAAAGTTCCCTGTTATCAATACCTTGCATTAGTGTAGTACATTTGTTACAATCGATGAGCCAATATTGATGCTTTATTATTAATTAAAGTGCATTAATTAACTAACTTTATATTAGGACCCACTCACTGTACATTCTATGGGCTTAATGCATATATAATGGCATGTATTCACATGTGTATATCACACAGGATAGTTTCATCGAAAAGCCCTTTGTGTTCTTCCTGTTCATTTCTCCTCCACTCAGCTCCTGGCAAGTACTGATCTTTTTTTAATTTTTTAATTAATTAATTATTATTTTTTTATCCTCACCAGAGGACACTTTTTTGCATTTATCTTCAGATAGAGTGGGAGGGAGAGAGTGGGGAAGAGAGAGAGAGAGAGCAACATCGATGTGAGAGAGACATATCGAGTGGTCGCCACCCACACTACGCCAACTGGGGCCAGGGACAAACTGCAACCAAGGTAGGTGCCCTTAGTGGGAACCGAACCTAGGACTCTCTGGTCCGCGGGCCAATGCTCTAACCACTGAGCCAAACTGACCAGGGCTTGGCAACTACTGATCTTTTTACTGTCTCCATAGTGTTGTCTTTTCCAGAATGTCACAATGTTGGAATCAGACAGTAAGTAGCCTTTCAAATTGGCTTCTTTCACTTAGCAACATGCATTTATGGTTCTCTCATGTCTTGAGTGTCTTAATGGCTCATTGAATTGTATTCCTGAATGAAATGCCACTGTGGATTTACCATAATTTTTACCCATTCATGTATTGAAGGACATCTTTGCTGCTTCCAGTTTTTACAATTATGGATAAAGTTGCTATAAATATTCATGTGTAGGTTTTTTTGTGGACATAAGTTTCAACTCATTTGGGCAAATACCAAGGGGAAAAAGTCCCTTTTTTCCCCAATAAAACATTTACATCTAGTATTCATATCTTGACCAATTATAATTTGCCCTTTGTAGCTAACTCCTGTACTCTCCCAATTTCTTTCCCTTAGCACCATTGAGGTTTTGGCCACATACAAATCCAGGAATGCCAGCCACATGTCAACAATGTTGTCTATAAAAAACAAGAAAATGTTTTAAAATCTTGTAGGAACTGTCCTGGTACACTTGATATTATTCCTGATAGACACTGCCTATGAAGTACTTTTCTGCAGGTGGATGTTAATGCTAATAGTTGTTCCTACCAAAATGCACCACTTTGCCCCTTTTGGTTCCTGCACTTTTTTTTTTTTTTGGATCATGCTGTTCTGATCAAATACTCTGTCTAATGAGGAAAGAATAATGACTTCAGAGTTCATCTTCTCCATAAATATACTTGATATGGGAGAAGTTTCTTAGCCATCCTGATCCTCAGTGTCCTGTGAAATGGGCAATAATACCCACCTGTTGAGGATTAGAAGTGATGTGAATAAAGCCTGGCACATTGCGGGCAATCTGTTCATGGTGTGGTGGTGGTGGTGATGTTTGTACAGCAAACTTAGAACCCAGGAAAGTAGGGTGCTTTGTGCTTCGATGGGGACATTTTATCTGAACAATAAGAATGATGATCACGACACATCACCACGTCTCCCGATTGCCTCCTTTCTATTGCTGTCCACTCGCATTGTAAAGCATCCAGAGCCTCTCCTTGTCGTTAACGTCTGGCTCTCCACTGACCTGCCAGCAGGGTTTCCTCCCATCCAGCTGTGCTCCCTTGGGATAGAAGGAGCGAATAAATAGGCACTTCATCTTTTTGTCCATTCCTGTTCCACATCCTTCCTCCTTCTCCATGCCGATGTGAAGCTTCCTAATTACTGCACAAAGCTTTGCTGCATGTCCCAGTCCGCAGTTTGTTGCAATTCCCCCTTCTTTTCTGACACCCCCAGAATACTTGGTGACGGGCCAGTCATTAGCTGGTACTCATAACTATTTTTTGTTGTTGTTAGTCCATTTGAACAAGCTCCTGAACTTGGGGGTCCATGACTTCTATCTTTTTGTACTCTACACAGTGTCCTGTCGACATATAGCTGTTTCATAAATCAATTCATTAACTTGATTCAATCTCAGAAAGTAAAAGGTATTTGGCATCTCAAACTCATAAAGCTGTAATAGATCTCTAAACAACTTTAAAATAAGAAGGATGTTCATCTGCCCAGGACAGGTTCAGCTTTATCTGGAAGTAAGAATGTAGACTTATTAGATGCCACTCGAACTCCTTTCCAAGTGGGTGGCTGTCCTGTGATTTGCTATGTGAGCTGTTCCGAACTGCTGGTGCATTCGCTGGGATTGATCTTTCATACCGATCACCAGTCTCAGCTTCCACCACAGCCTTACTGAATCCGTCGTCTCTTAAAGGGCATGTATGACATTAGCCCAGGTGACATGTAACTAGGAAAGCATGCCTTTTAAGACAAAACAATGAGAGATTCCAGATCCGAATGGACTGTCGTTGTGGATTATTTCATATTTGTGCTCCTGTCGTTCTCCTTACTCGTCTCCACTACAACAGCTTGCTGCTCGATTGTCCTCTGAGCCACTTGCACTGCTGCCGCGGGTGACGCAGGCAATGCATGTTGCTGAAGGGGCAGCTTAGTGGCAAGGTTAGTACCTGAGTGCAGGCTATTTGTAGGACATTCATTCTGAGTCGAGTCTGAGTGAGTCCAGAAAGCAGTGGAATATTCCATGAGTCCCCCACATGACTTCTGCTGCCCCGAGGGTCTGTTTCTCCTGTAAGGGCTTGGAAGCTGCCTGGCAGAGGCCGGCTGAAATCGGAGAAATCCCGACTTTAGCTGTTTCAGAAAAGTGACCCCAGTATTTGAGGAATGATGGGGACAGAATTAAACATGAGTAAAAGACTTGGAGTGGTTCCTGTTTTCCTCCATAATGGGTGTCCCCTGGTGTGACTGTTATTTTTGTGATGATTGCTTTATCTACATTTTACCCAGCACTTGGAACACCACCTCTGGGCAACTTAAATGAAAGCTTGTTTTCCAGGATGCAGGACACTGGCAGAAAATTCCATGGTTCATCAAATCTGGTGCAAACGGTTTGCCTGAGCCGGATGTTTGGGGTCCTGGGTGTCCTGCTGGAGAAATAAGTGCTGTTGCTCCAAGTAGAAAGTGGTCAAGGAGACAGCGAGTCGATACTTCGAGCCTTTCCTTTCTATCATGATGTGGAAAGAGACCCTAAATTGTTCGGGAAGGAACAGCAGTCAGCTCTGCTGGATTTCCAATGCTTCCCAGGTTTTGCACTATTAGCTTATTTTTTCCAACACGGCTCTATCATAACAATCCTTTGCTTTCCCTGCACTCCTGGCCCCGCATGGTGTTTTGTTACACTCATGCTGAAAGAAAAGGTGTCTGCATACTGTGTCTCTTCATTTGGCTCCAGGGATTTCCCTTTGATTTGGAAAGAATAATTTTTCAAATTCCATTATAAAATACACAGGAGAGAGAAAAAAGATGAAGCCCCAGGATCGAGCGCCAGTGTTGACATTTTGTTCAAAAGATGAACTGAAGGTCCATTTTCTCTAGTACTGCTCAAGCGCATGATCAATTACTACAGTCTGAATGATCAGCTGTGTTGCTCACCACTGATTTATATGGCATGGCTTAACTTGGTCTCCATCCTTCAAGATATTCAAACATAGCTAATATTCAGCAGGTACCCCCAAGACTCCAGGATCAACTCCACAGCTCCCTAATTGCTCTCTCCCCGGTTCTGCCCAGAATATTTATGGTGAGTAGCCAGTTATCTCTTCTTTGGCAGCCGGCCGGCTTTCCTGTCCTGTGGAATTGCCTGCATTCACATTTGCAAACAGAGACTCACTCAAGTGTCACTAAAGGAAGAGGAGGCGGGGCTAAAAGGGCTTTAAAAAGGAAAGGGGAGTCATTCTACTTTTCAAAAAGAGAAACTGTGTTTGGGGAGGAATCAGATCTCCATATTTCTTCTTTCAGCTTCATCCAGGGTCGTGGTTGGAACTTTCCATCAATTCTTTCTTCTTTTTCTCCCCCCTCCTTTGCCTGCTGCTCTCTCTGCCTGTCACGGTGAATCAGCTGCAGGCCTCCAGAGCGTGGCTGTTACATTGTGAAATGTGTCATCAGGGTGTCAGGTACTTCTTACTGGCTTCCCAAAACCTTTGAGCAAGAAATATCTCCCAGACTGTCCCTTTCAGGCTGCCTCTGGACACTGCCTTGAGCTGAAGCAGGAGTCGGAGGGCAGCTGCACAGGAGCCCAGGAAAAGATGCCCCGGGGCTGCGGGCCGAGCCGGGTGAGCGCGCCTGGGCTCAGACACCTTGCTGTGCTCCGCCGAAGTCAAGTTATTTTCTGTTGAAAGTTCAAGCTCATCAAGATCATGCTGCTCGTCCTTGCCATTCTGCTGCCAGTAGTTTTTAAATTTGGTTTTGTTAGTCTCTCAGCACTCCAGCGCCAGAACTGTCCTGAAGGCTCCCTCCTGGGAAATGGGAATGCCACCTGTGTGGGTAAGTCCGTGGGAATGCCACCTGTGTGGGTAAGTCCGTCCATGGAAAGGAATTCACATCTCCTTGGAAACTGCCCTCAGCTACCTGTTCATTTCGTCTTGTAAAGCTGGGCTTTTTTATTCTGATTTCTTTGCGTGTGTATATTTGCTTAATTTTTGTTTTCTAATGCTTGTATCGTTTCTTAATGGCTGTTAGAGCTAATCTGCTATTGGCTATAAACTCTTAGCTCTCAAACTGTTCTTCCACGTGTGGGTGAATGTGTTTCATTTTAAACCAGCTGAACATTTCTTTTCACGTCTTTATTCTGACGGGAGGAATAACTAAACACTTAGATGATCAGCGTTTTCATTGGCAACTAGGGGAACAGATGGCTTTTTTCTTTTTTTAACTGTCTCTATTTAAGGCATTAAAAAAAGTCTCTAGTAACTTTGTATAAGAACTCAGAAGTTTCTAAAAAGTCAGTGAAAAAAGTGGATGAGAATTGGGAATGAACGTGATTCTATCATGAAAGCCAAGCTAAGTTTCACCTTACACCTCCTCCCTCCCCCTCCTGCCGCTCCTTCCCTTGGCTCAGTTTTTAGTAACAGGTGCATTGTAGCTTTGAGAACTGCTACGAAATGACAATGCGCCATGCCTCTCCCGTAGTAAATGGGTTTTCAATCTAGGAGAAACAGGACTTTTACTGAATGCAAGATAACAATTCTGCTGAAGGACACTGCCTGCAGAAACCTCTCTCTCTCTCTCTCTCTCTCTCTCTCTCTCTCTCTCTCTCTCTCTCTCTCTCTCTCTCGATTCACTTTATGTAGCTCTTGGTTGGGTCTCCAACCTGCAGCTCAAACAAGGCAGGTGTTTCCATCCATTACAGAGAATGAACTACCCTCTCTTGTCACTTTGCCCTTTTGAGAAGAGATCTGTCTCTCACAAAGAGATAAATTGAGGAAACATGGTAAAGCTTCCAGGAGAGAAATCTCTGGAAGACAGCACAAAGTAGTGGGAGTAAAGTGAACAGTTCTGAGCCAAACTGCAGGCAGTGGGCTCCTTCCTCTCTCTCCTGAAGGAAGTCACCAGCGAGGCACTCAGGTGCCCTTGCTCTGGATCTCAGGACTGTCTCCAGGCCGTAGGCTTTGTCACAGGTGAGCAGAACCCTGGGCTATTGGAAGAAAGGACTAAATTCTCACGATCTCCATGACCCCAGCACCCGGAACATTTCCGCTTTCATGTTATGTACTCAGTAAAGTCCTTGCTGAATGAATGAGTCTTTCCTTGACCGGCTGATCCTAGAGTCCCAGGGAGCAAAAGGGAGTGACTAGAGACAGAAATGCCTCACCGGCATGCTGCTGAGCTGCTGGAGGCGGGCGTGCAAGCTTTCGGACACGGTTCCGTCGAGCGGACCGGAGCCTCCCTGGGTGGGTGAACTGTCCGGAGAGTAGTTGGCAAGTGACCAGGACCAGGCACTGCCATTTGCATGGGACATGAGGGGAGACGGTGGGAGCCAGTCAAGAAGCAGAACTTGAAAGAGGGGGAAAAAAATCCCACACATAGCTTTAGAGTCTCAGGGAACCTCCTGATTTCTGCTCGCAAGGGAACTCATGCTCCTCGCCTCCCTGCCAGTGGCTCCGAGGTGCCCTCACGGGGCTGGGTGCACCAAATAAACCCGGAGACGGGGACAGGGACGAGGAGTTAAGGGGACTGTGTCAAAGTGAAAGGAACACAGGTTTTAGAAGCAAATACATCTCATTTCAAATCCATGCTACCTACTTAATACTTGAGTTCTATGGGAATACTGCAGGGAATGACACCGTCTTTCAGGATTGGTGAGGGGCTCACAAGAGATGCGTGAAATACACCTAGCACAGGGGCCAGCACACTGTGCTCGGCCAAGGTCCTCTTGGCTCCATGTCTTGGCTAAATCTCTCTGATCAGACCACACCCTGAGACGCCGTATTTGAACAGGCAGTGACGTGGCACCGACCTCGCGTAGTGTGGAATGTCTGGATGCCACTTTGTGACTCTGCCCCATCCTTGCATGTCACTAGTTTAAACCCCCTACAAGATACTCCAGGTCTCACATTAGCTGATAACTGCCTGGGTCACACCCTGTGCCCCCCCCCCCCCCCCCGCATTTCAAAGGGTAGTATTTCTCTCTTCTAAATAGATATGGTGCCATCATCTATTCCTTCCACCCCCTCAATTAAATTCTACTTGCCGATTTCTTGCCCTTGGCCTTGAGACAGACCACCTCTGGCCAACCTGGCCCAGCAGAAAGAATGCTTTGTGTCGGTCTGACAAGATTGAGGTAACTTTATGCAAGGTTGTCACTCATGTGACTGCTAGCCATACAAACCAACTGATAACACAGAACTGAGTTTTCTTTTCATTCCTCCCCTCCCCCACCCCTCGTGCCTTTTTTTTTTTTCTTTTAAATCAGCTGAGTATTCTGTTAGCTGCTATTTGAGCTAGGGTAGGTGAGGATAGCAATAAAGACGACTGCTGGCAAGTGACTTCTGAACTTTCAAGCTTATTTGCCCTGGAGGAGAAATATCCTTGAAAAAAGGAACTGTTCCTGTTTGCTGTCTGTACCTGCCTTATTTATATGAACTTTCTTGGTAAAAAATAAAGGTGAAGAAGAAGTACAGGCCACGCCTCCGAGAGCTGGCTGCAGAAGGGATCCTAGGGCACTGAGTTAGCCAACTGGGAGATCACTTTTAGCAGTAAACAGCGAAATCACTGATTTCAGCACTGGCTCAGGCTTGGTCAGCTTCCCAGTCATGTGCAAACCTGAGTAATTTCATGATCAGAATCTTTGTTTTTTCAGCCAGCATTATGCAAAAGTTTTTTGTTTTTTTTAAAATTAAATCTAACTGCAAAGAAATTACAGAAATGATCTTTTATGCGTAGCATGTAAGTACCCGGTGGTTTATGGTCTTTGAGGGGTAGTAGTATTTAGTGAGAAAGAGCTTAACTTTTGGAGACAGACCTGGGTTCAAATCCTAGTTTTGCTGCTTGTGAAGCGTGTGTCTCATCTTCCTCACTGTAAAATGAAGCTTATCAGCCCCTTCTCTCAGGAGTGTTGTCAGGATGGTGTTAATTATTTGTTTTTAATGCTGGCTATACATTAGAATCACTAGTGTCCAGGTTGCTACGTGGGTCAGAGTGACTTCTAGGGCTGGAATCCAGGCAGCGTTTTCTCGGAAACTCTCCCTGGTGATTCTAATGGGCACAGGAGGCAGCCTGGGTTGGAGACCACCAGCTGATACATACAGGGTGCAAGAAACAGAGCCTGGTATAGAAGAGGTACTCAGTAAGTCTTAGCTGCTATTGGTATTTTTTATCATTGTGGAATTATTTTGATTGGCGGTAATAGTACGAGTATTTTCTAAATGTGGCTTGGTTTCTTCTATAATAATTGAACTTTTTTTTTTTCACACGTGGAAAATGCCACATTGAAAAATCTGAGATAGCTTTACAACATTAAAAATTGTAGTCAAGATCATTTCAACGTTCACAGCTTGTATTTTTGCAACTGGGAGTAATGCTTATTAAAAATACAAAAACATATCACACTGATTTGAGCAAGTGACCTCGTGGAAATGCAGCTTCATGTTGTCTTTCGTGACGTCAACTGATAATAAATTCCACTGACTGCAAATTAAATATGCTTGTTAGATTTCTTACCAGTAACAATTTTATTTTGACAACAGCAGCAAAAAGAAGGCACTTGAAAGTGATCATTTACATTTCATATATATCATTCCTTAAATTTGGAACCAATTTCTCTAAGATTAGTAAAAGCTGTTGAGGGTATTTAAAGAAATGATAAAATAATTATTTAAAAGAATTTTTATTTTGGGGCTAGTTGGGAGTTGTTTGAATATATGACATTTAATTTACTGGTTGGAAGGTGGAAATTCTTTGTTTGTGTTCAGGGTAGAGCAGATAGTTGGTTGTTTCCCATTAAAAGTAAATGAACTAGTAATTTGGTTCAAAATTTGCTTTCTTAAAAATCCTTTTGAAATAATTTCTTGTTTAGTATAAATGCTTTGTTTTTACATCATTAGTCTCCAAACTCTGTTCTATCTATAAAAAAAGTAACATGTGGGCATATGCTCTCAATTTGTGTGTCTATTTATCAGTTACTTACATGTTATATATATTTTTAATATTTTCTTTCTACACAATGGTGAACAGTCTTACAGTCTGTAAACAGCACACATCCTGGTTGGAGAAGACCGTTCTAGAGAAGTAATAAAATGATGGAGAACATGCTTTATCTTTCTTAGCTCTTGTCAGCTCCTTTTACTTAGGCATGAAGTGATAAGCAAAAGGATTATTTTTCTTTTTTCAAGTAAAAGGGAGTTCTTCATAGTGAATGACTTCTCTCAGAATGTATAATGGAAGAAGAAATAAAAAGGGACTGAGATTACTCTTTAGAGACCAGAAGGAGAGACCACGTTCTTAAAGATGGGCTGGAGTTTCGGAGATTCCAGAGCCCCATGGCCTGGTGGAGTCACTATATCCTAACATTTTAAAATAAAAATGGCCTGTGCCGTCTTCCTGTGCTCTGGAGAAACCTTGTGTGTCTCTCCTAAGACAGAGGAAGTCTGGGCGCGGGAATGGTGCTGGGAAGGGAAGGCCATCGTGTTCCTGCTGGCCCTGCCGCGGGTGCCTGACCCGCCGGGCTTCCCTCCTGCGCGCCCCCTGTCCCGCGCGGCCCCTGTCCCACGCGGCCCCTGTCCCACGCGTCAGGACCTCATGCCCACATCACCTTGCTTTACTTCTCCAAAGACCGGGGCGTGGAAGCTTGGGGAGAAAAAAATCCCAGCCAATCCTGATGCAGCACATTAAACAACTAAAACTATTTTTCATTCTTGTTTTTAAAAGTTAAGTGATTGTTCTTCATGGGAAAACTTACCAACCATCTTTTGGGTGCCAGCCTTCTGCCACCTTGGCTGGTGTCTGCGAGGTTGACCTGCACTGAGCCCCCTTTCCTGGGCCCCTCG